GGCATTGTGGCCGTCCGCCACAAGTTACTGAATTTAAATCTCTAGCATCGGAGCGCAATTAGGTCAAATAGTTGGGGCTACAGGATACATCACGCTGACAGCACGGTACTAGCTCAAAGCCAGTATGGTGTAACCCCAATAATAAAAATGCTGGTTACTTGTTGGTAGTTCAATGAACATTACGTGGTTAAACCACTGTAGCAGATGGACTTCGACCCAAATATTCAGATTAACTTACTCGGTTTGCGCTTATAGCTCTGGAATTAAGTTGATCTACACCAGGTCCTGCGGAAATTAAAAAAGCGACATGGTTAAACAATGACCACCCGGCTAACAGACTAGATCGATGACGCCCATCGTCGTGTGACATATTGGGACGAATAAGATCGGGGCTTGGCGCAATGCTTATTGCGCCGTCTCGTGTTTAAGTACGGTACTTAACGTCCGGTTTGTGGGCAAAGTGAGAAAAACAAGGCGTGGTGGAGCAAGTGGCTTCCAATACGTTCTTGCTCTCAGATCGTCTTGAAGCCGAAAGGGGGAATCACGTGCGAAGCAGCGGCGTCCAGCATAGAGACGGTCAAAACCTTTACACATCCCTACCTTCCTACCAGTTCTGAAGAATCGAGAAACCCGGAACGTACTTTGGCGCAGTCTCGCCGGATAAATTCTGACCTACCAATGAGGCAATTTGAGATAAAGTGGTAAAAGAGGGAGTTGTTTGATCCATGCGCCGTTTTGGAGTAAAATTCTGGCAAGGGATACTAGAAGCACGCGCACAAATAACGTTGAGTCTCCACGCCTTTTGCCGGCAAAATAAACTGGTCGGTCAGGGGTGGCAACATACACGCTGCTAGTGAATGGACCAACTGCACAGATCAAAAGAAACGCCGAAAACACACCCACAAACAGACAGAGTATCGAAAAGTTCCAGAACTGCTCGTGCTGGTGGTCTGTGTGTGCGCGCATGCCAACAAGATGATTGGTTAAAAACGGCTATTCATGGACAGCATACACTGTCAACACCGACTGATGCGGAGAACCGGCCAACTGACTGGACGAACTTTTGAGGGTTGCCACGAAACGGATTCGGGACGAAATCCACATCAGTACACGATATCAGAAGGCTTTCTTGGATCACCTCATGTACTTGTACATGTTAAGGCCGCGATCAGGACTGATCTAGCCGGCCTCGATTATGTCCCGAATGGTACTTCACCACGCGAGACGATCCGTGGCAGCAGACCTGGACAGTTGAATCCAATCAATCTTTGTCAACGCCGGATGCCGAAGGCCCAAT